AATATTCTTAGGAAAGCGAGATTTATAGACTGTTGTGTGCGTGCAATATCAAATTTTGGTCGCTACGCGTCTTGCCTACCTTTCGGCATAGTCCAATCGGTGGGGTTTCTTTTTGAAATTATAGTGCTAATTGTAGTAAGCTACACGTGTACATTTATTTAAAATAAATACAAAATCTTAACAATGATATCCAATTGATGATAATTCTCATTTAGTGAACATTCATTACGTTTGTAAAAGTTCACAATCCGAATCATCGTCAGATGAAATTGACAAATCCTTATCATCACTGTCATTATTAACACTTATTATAAAGTTCAGAAACATCAACCAATATAACTTCTCTTTTAAATTAATCACTTTCCACATCTTCACACACTTTCTTCCAGTTGTCAGCTGTAATTTTTTCAAATTCTTCATTTGCCAGTTTTCTAAGTAACATCTTCCATTTTAAATGTAACATTTCTTGCTGCTATGCGATTTAAATAAATAAAAAGGCGGTTTATTTATGTTGTAAAGTCTCAAATCTGATAATTTTCTGTGTGATTTGTGCTAACAATTTGATTGACAGTTATAATAAATAATGCGAATCTTGTCTTCCATGCTCAGGGTACCTCTATAAAGGATAGCGCTATACGTAATTAATGTGCCGAAAGTGATGGTAATAGATGGTACGTCCTTTTGAACTATGTTGGGGTATGGCTGTATCTATGTATTTATATATCTATGATACAATAAGTACTAGTGCGCCATCTCCATGGCAATCGATACACTTTCTATCTATTATAGTTTTAGAAGTCTAGTTGAGATGTCGCCACGTACGCAACTTCTTTTAAAATTTTATTTGAATATATGCGATTAATAGCAACGTTGCACTTATTATTCCTTAAATGCAGTGCCGTTTTTAAGTTTTTCGGGGCCCTGGGCCATTCGTTCGTAGAGGCCCTCCTTACCCTCAATAAAAACGGCAGATTGGGGAGATTCAAGCAAATCCCTAATTTGAATATGGGCACTCGATATTTGTGTAGCCTGGTTTATAGGCAACACATCATGCTCAATGAACAGAAAACATTTATTTTTGCAATTCGTAACTTCTTATGCATAGGAGTTTATTTAAAGCCCTTGGAAGAACAATTTCAATAACAGCTACATTAAACTGAACCGTTTTACAACAACTTTCGCACAAAGATCGAACAAACCACACATTTTTTCGTGATTGCAAACTGCGTAACTCTTTTGCCTTATTTCCCTGCCAATTTCACTACCGTTTCTATAACCGTAGTTCTATCAAATAAACTCTAGGCTCAATTCTTTAAAGAATAGCTTCGCACCATCGCCAGCTGCTGCAATCATGTAATCGTTCCGATTTTAACCTTGAGAAGTTTGAGTTGCATTAGAATGGGTTTTCTGTGAGTTCTCCACGGTGTCCCCCTGTTTTGGTTACAAAGCATTTCCCTTTTCGATTTGTGTTGTCTGAATTCAATGCTAACGTTTCTCATCCATCGAGAACTACATGTCTTCGATTGCACGACCCAGAGCGAACAGTATCACATTCCGCAAAGGTTGAGTCTGCCGCTTTCCTGTCACTCCCAGTAGCCAGTTCCCTGATTTAAACCTGTAAGGGCCGGTTTTACAATTACACCTATTCGCAGAATAAGATACTCTTGGAATAATTGCCATAGCAACAAGTATCCCATTGGTTGACGCAATGGTAACCAACGCAACCGTCGACGTTTATTCGAGGTATAGCTTATTCTCAGTATATCCCTGAGTAGGGAAAGAATGGGGGTGCGCAGATCCTCTTTGACCTTGGGTTCCGCGCATATAGGCTCTATATGGATGGGGATGCGCAGATCCTGATCAGAATCCTATGGGGATTCAATGAATCCTCTGACCTACTTTTAAAATGCGAGTGGGGTCTCAGAGAATCCTGGATGACCTAGTTACAACCCATNGTTTATAGTCCAGTCAAATTAGCACAATTTTGGACAAATAAAAACATTAATTGGTAAAGATCTGAATTTTGGTATACACATTTATTGGGACTTTCTATTGAACATATTAAAAGTCCCTGTCAAAATCTGTTGCGCTCGAGACGCCATCTTGGAAAAACGGTACACTTTTCCAGTTTTTTGCCCATGTCTCGGCAATTATTACTGACACGAAGAAATAGTTTACATGAAAAATATAGTTTACTAAATTCCCTATAAAAAAGAGTATTTACATTTTTTTTGTATCTCCAGTACTTTAGCTGTAATCTCACGTTGAATACGTCAGAACGCGTTTAGGCCCCGTATCGTAATTATAGGAGGCCGTCTTTTTTATGACTACATCGATAGCTGTAATAGAGCCAAAAAATGAACAGAATCGTCGTGCGATAAAGCATTCTACCAATGACATAATGTTTGATGATACATCATGTTTTTTTCAAAAAGGTAAGCGAAAATGTGTAAAAGTGTTGGAGCAACGAAATGATTTCTGAAGCTGAAGAACGCCCTTATCTGCAAAATATAACGTGCCTGCTAGTGAGAGATATTAAAACCGACATCGTTATCAGACCTTCAGAATGACCTTGACCCTGTTCGGACACTCAGTGCTCACATTGAAGATGAAAGTTCTATTGAGAGAGAGTCTTATGAGAAACCTTACTAAACGTGTCTCATACCAAGCTTGAGTGCGACGACTTCGCATATATAAGAAATACTGGTAGAATTTTCAATGAATTTTTAATGATTTGTAAAAAGTTGTAAAAAAATATCTGCGCGACTGTTTCGAGAGCTCAGGATACTTGATTCCCTATTCGATGTCCGATTATAGCTAAAGTATTGGGCATACAGAAAAATGTTAATATGCTTTTTTATGGGCAATTTAATAAACTATATTTTTTATCTGAACTATTTTTCCGTATCAATAATTGTTGCCGATATATAGGCAAGAAACTGAAAAACTGCTCCTTTTTTCCAGGATGGCGCCTCGAGCGCAACAGATTTTGACGGGGACTTTTAGTATGTCCAATGGGGAACACTAATGAACATGTGTACCAAAATTTCAGATCTTTACCGATTAATGTTTTTATTTTTTCTTATTTGACTGGACTACTAAGCGAGAAAGGAATGATAACAAAGTTTAATATTTGACTATAAAATAAACATTCATTATGCATTTGAGGTTAAACCTTCATATATTGGTTTTTAAAAACAGCGCTCTGACATCTAACGTTAGTTTCATAAAGTACATTACAAAATTAGTGTGGCGACATCTTTGAGGTGTAAGTTCCAACTAAAATAATGGGGGTAATAAACATTTCACTCCTGTATTATAGCCTATTCCTTTGCGTCATGGCGTTTTTGGAATGCCAAAGGGCAGGGCGGGTAAACGGACGACCGTCCGTATACCTCTTTGGTATACCTACCTATACCTAGATTTTTGACGATTTTAATAAAGCATCTGTTCGCAATACACGAGTTAAATCGCTATAATGGGCTACTAGTTTTCCCGAGAAATTTTGGTGCAGTCGATTTTTGGAAAAAAAGGAAGGTTATACACTGCCTTTTTTTTGCCTCGAAAAAAAATTGTCTCAGATCGACCCGGAACAAAATTTTTCTTTTAGAATAAGGCTTGTAGAATCCATAATTTCAAACAGTTCCAAGATTGGGCTACTAGTTCAAAAGTTACAGCCCTTTGAATTTTCTTTCGAAATTGGTTTCTAGTCTATAACTTTTGATTGAGAACTCTGATCGAAAAAGTACGAATTGTTTTAGATTCTACGCACCAAAACTAATAAGAAAAAGTGTTTTCCCGAGAAATTTTGGTGCAGTCGATTTTTGGAAAAAAAGGAAGGTTATACACTGCCTTATTTTTTTTGCCTCGAAAAAAAAATTGTCTCAGATCGACCCGGAAAAAATTTTTCTTTTAGAATAAGGCCTGTAGAATCCATAATTTCAAACAGTTCCAAGATTGGGCTACTAGTTCAAAAGTTACAGCCCTTTCAATTTTCGTTCGAAATTGGTTTCTAGTCTAACTTTTGATTGAGAGGTCTGATCGAAAAAGTACGAATTGTTTTGGATTCTACGCACCAAAATTAATAAGAAAAAGTGTTTTCCCGAGAAATTTTGGTGCAGTCGATTTTTGGAAAAAAAAGAAGGTTATACACTGCCTTTTTTTGCCTCGAAAAAAAAATTGTCTCAGATTGACCCGGAAAAAAATTTTTCTTATAGAACCTGATGGCCTGCAGAATCCATAATTTCAAACAGTTCCAAGATTGGGCTACTAGTTCACAAGTTACAGCCTAACTCACGTTCTTATCCACCAACTTCAAAAACTCAGTAACTTCATAATGGCGATGAAAGAGAAATTAGTCGTTTCAACAGTTTCGTAAGAGACTTTCACCTAATAGTCTTGTTTTCTCAATGATAGTGTCGTTTTTGTACTTTGAATATGAAATAAGTTCACACAAATATTATTATATAAGTGTAAATACTAAACATACTAAATAATGCTTCTATTAAAATATTGAAGTATTACAACAAAGTGCTACGGTTTGAGATGACCAACAAGATAAGAAACAACTCAAAGCGAATGTTTGTCTACAGAGTATTTATCGGCCATCCAAGCGTTACCTTCACATTTTCACGCTTTTCAGATTTCTGTCATGACGAAAACAGTATTCACTCGAAATGTTCAAATCGGACAGGAAACTCCAGATTGTGACTACCAGAACAGATTTTTTTATTACTTATAAAACAATGCTGTTTATTTTTTTAAATATATTAACTGTATTCATTTACTATGCCTCAAACACCATTATAGTTTTACTAAAGTTCAGTAATAAATTCGTAGACGCGTCGCGACGCCTATACAAAATGAAAGTGTCCATATTGTGCAATACATAATTTAAATCTTGATTTGCATGTAAATTGGCGATTAGAGTTTTTACATCGCGCACACCGAATCCTCATTTTGAAAAATTTACGCCTCAATTACCGTTTCTTCTGTTTCAGGAAGCTTCAAAGAGAAAAAGAGAGATACTGCAAGACCGTCTACCAGGGCGTATTACCATTTACGGAATGTACTCAAGCATTCAATTCAACGACATTCATTCGGTCTTGGGATCCCGATCCTTTAAATATTCTAGGAAACGATACGATATCGGTTATCGATTGGTTAAACCAGGGAAACGATACCGAAAATGGTAGTTTAAGTTCTTCGGAGCCCCCTTTAACGTCGGTTCTTCCGCCTTTTGAGCTGTGGCAGACAATATTCATAGCCGTATGTCTCGGTATATGTATTATATTAACGGTAGCCGGAAATGTTTTAGTACTTCTCGCATTTATTGTGGATCGAAGTATTCGACAGCCCAGTAACTATTTTATAGCCTCGCTGGCGGCCACCGACATGCTTATAGGTAAGATCAATGCTCGTGTATGAAATTAAAGACGAAGATTACTTACAGGAACAGTTTCGATGCCGTTTTATACGGTCTACGTTCTTATGGGGTATTGGGACCTGGGACCGTTGCTGTGCGATCTATGGCTATCGGTGGATTATACAGTGTGTTTATGCTCACAGTACACGGTGTTGCTGATTACGATTGACCGATTTTGTTCCGTCAAAATAGCCGCTCGTTATCGTAGTTGGAGGACCAAAAATCGGGTCCTTTGGATGGTGACCATCACGTGGATTATACCTTCGCTTCTGTTTTTTATAAGTATTTTTGGCTGGGAGCATTTTGTCGGGTACCGGGATTTGCTACCGGGACAATGTACTGTACAGTTTCTAAAAGATCCCGTTTTTAATACGGCGTTAATTATTGGGTATTATTGGACGACGCTGATAGTGCTTTTTATACTATATGGAGGTATCTACAAGACAGCGTACGATATGCAGAAGAAGAGTGAGGCGAAACAGCGCAAAATGCAATCTATGGTTGCTCTTAGCGCAGGCGCGATGTCAGGAATGGCAGGGCGAGCTGCGGGCATCGGTCTTTCCAAAACACAGAGCACTCTCTTAAGTCAGGATAAGCCGCCTGCGGTTCTAGCAAACGCCCCTAACTGTCTAGCAGCGCCGCCTACTCATCTGAATCTTACCGTCAAAGAGGTGCAGCCGGGCGCAGGATCGGGCGATTCGAATTCTAGTCAAAAAACCAACTCTTACAAAAGTAGCGGCACAACAACAACGGCAACCACAACCACGGCGGACTCACGAAATTGCGATCGTCGTAACTTAAGTCTTCCCAATGCACAACTGGTTACGGAGGTCGAAAAATCGGAACGATCCAGCAGTCCGGCCTTCGAATCCGACGAAGATAGTACGACTCCAAATACGCAACAGCAGCTCCAACAACAAAATCAAACGAGGAAACGTTCTTCCATGGTTGGAATTTTGGTTCAAAGTAGCGCGCCACTTTACGCTTTTGACAATAAAGCTAACGGCGGTATACCTTCCTCAGGTAAGAACACCGCGGGATCAAGACAATCACATTTGCAAAAGTCGGCCAGCGAGGACGTCTCAGTTTTACCTAAAATCTTAGAGCAGAACTTAATGGACGTAGACAACGTGCAAGGGGTAGGTGACCACTTAATTGTTCCCTTACAACCGAAACCTTTGGATGTTGCCAACCCTAAACCCGTTGCACCACCAAAGTCTCCGGATATGTCGCACAGATCTCAAACAATTATAACACCCCCGCTTCAGTTTCAAAGCAGCCCCCCTGTAACGCATAGTCCGCCCATTTCAAGCAACTCACCCTCTTTGTCCGATCGTCCGCGTACCCTGCAAGTTAAATCTCTCGGAACGTACGATGTCTTGGTAGGTCTCGACGGTGCCGATCTCCGTTACATGGACGAAAGCTCCATAATCGTACCCTCGCCCGTATGCGAAAGTTCCCCTCCATCGAGCATTGCGCACGAATCCCCCGCCCATTCTATTAACACTTCCGCAAACACTTCTTTGCTTCAGACGGCGCTACTACGCGCCACTTCACAAATCGGCCCGGTTTCGAAAAAGGTAGAGACCGAGGTTACCATTGCAGCCGAACGACCCATCACGACGATCGTTAGCGAACCCCCGACTTGCGACAATCGCGAAAGTTGCACGGGCGAAAGCTCGCCGGTATGCGGCATGTCCACCGTCAGTCAAACAGGTAACGCAGCCGCCATCATGGCGGCGACCACGATCGTCGAGCTTAATAAAAATAACATTTGTAACAAACCAGATATCGAAGAAACAAAGATTAGAAAAGATTTTGTTCGAAACCTCGGCAAACGCCTAAAAGGGAAGAAAAGAAAAAAGGAGGGACCTTTCGGCGTACTCGGACGTCAAAAGTCAAAGTCGGAAAATAGAGCGCGGAAAGCTCTACGGACCATATCGTTTATTCTGGGAGCATTCGTTATATGCTGGACACCTTATCACATTCTCGCCCTCGTCGAGGGATTTTGTTCGGAGCCACCGTGTACCAACGAACATTTGTTTATGTTCTCTTACTTTCTCTGCTACGCTAACAGCCCATTAAATCCATTCTGCTACGCACTCGCCAACCAGCAGTTTAAGAAGACCTTTACGCGCATTCTTAAAGGAGATCTTCACATGACGTAATTTACATAGTTACCTAGCAAATTTAGTATATACACATAATTAAATTAGAACGGCGATAACTGTATAGTTAGGAAATATTCCAATTGTCACGAAATGATATTTTTTGTGCCTGGAGCACAACCAAGTCAATATTTAAAAGGACAATAAGTAAATTATTAGCTCATGTTTTATATTTTAACACGTCTTAGTATATAACATGCTGGTGCATGGGACCCAAACCTGTAAATACGCAGTACCGTTTGTCAATTTTTTCATGGAAATTGTCAAGCCGTATAACCCACGGGTTCCTACCAGCAAAAGCCATATTTATCTGTGGTAAAATGAGAGTTTGCTGTACTGAGCCCTTCCAGCTCACTCACATTTTACTAAAATTGTTAACGGGCGGGCAATCACGCAAACTGCTTGCTTGGTTGCGCACTCGTACGGTCAGTGAGAACATTGGAAAGATTTAGATAAATATCACAAGTATCCTGTGATAAAACAAATGAATGCGAATGCCATTTTATGTTCAATTATAAGATCCCAGAGTGCAGGGAATGGAATGTAAAATCGCATCGAAAAATTGAAGATGTTACATATCATTTATTTTTACAAAAATGTACCGTATCAGTACATTTGTATAGAAGCTTTTGTTTAGAACACAAGTATTGGAAAGTATTCGTTAGTAACTCAGATTGTTAGTAAACTATTAGTTCGAGGTAGAATAATGGGAAAAAAGTGTCTATACTTATACCTACCTACCTATTTGTATTTGGTTTAGTCTTATGCTTATGAGATATGACTGATGTAAACCTTTATCTAGAATTAGGTATGCTAAATTGGTTCTTTAAGTAGTTTTTCATTTATTAACAGAAACATTGTAGTTTTTATTTTTGACACCTTGCGAACACCTCCAGCTGTTACGCTTTGTAGTACAAAAGACTAATCTCAAAATAAAAAGAAATGTGTACTTTTTATTGTGGTTTTCACTTACTGCCTATGTTTACGACTTTTAATTCGGCTCATACTCAATAGCACTAGTCCCTGGACTCGTAGATTGGCGAAGGTTGGACATCCCCATCCCTTTTCGTTCTCAAGTTCTGACGAGGCACAGACGGACAGATGCGCGGACCAAAACCATCACATAACGGGAAATTCATTTCCCTAAAATAGAAATCCACTAAGAGAGCTATAGCAGAAGAGTTCCCTCTCCTCGATAATTTGTCAATTATACTAAAACCACACGCTCAACTGAGGCCAAAGTCTAGAAGAATCGTCGATATAGGTGAAGAGTCTAAAGTCACTAAAATCTAAATATTCTGTAGTATTCAGTATTCACTATTCAGTGAGTGATCAGTGTTGGCAGTCGATTTGGCTATTCGGCATCGATCGGCAATTCGCTACATTGATGCCCAAAATAACAAATAGGTATCAGGTACTTATTATAATAATAATAATAATAATAATATGAATATGAATATGAATAACACAAACATCACTACAACAGACATCATTGAAACTATTAATCACTTACATAACTGGAAAAGTCCAGGCATTGATAACATTCACAACTTTTGGTGGAAATATTTTACCTACACTCACTCTTACCTTGCGCAACAATTTACTGAACTTCTTAATTCACCAGATCGCACTCCTGCATTCTTTACACAAGGTATCACTTACATGCTCCCAAAAGACAACAATACACAAGACCCATCTAAATATAGACCAATTACATGCCTTCCTACAATATACAAAATCCTTACATCATGCATTACAAACAAAATATACCAACACTGTACTGATAACAACATTCTATACGAAGAACAAAAAGGGTGTACCAAGTGTTCCAGAGGCTGTAAAGAGCAACTCATTATAGACTCTGTTATACTTGAACAATCCAGACATAACAAACGAAACATACACACTGCATACATTGATTACAAAAAAGCATTCGATTCAGTACCACACTCTTGGTTACAACAAGTACTCTCAATATACAAAGTCAGCAACAATATTACACAATTCCTCAATTACATAATGTCATGTTGGAACACTACGTTAACACTTACACTAAACGACACAAAACTTATTACTGACCCAATACAAATTAAAAGAGGAATTTTTCAAGGCGATTCTTTAAGTCCGCTCTGGTTTTGTCTTGCTCTTAACCCACTTTCACATTTGTTAAACACTACTAACTTTGGGTACAATATTAAACACAACCACGAAATACATCACAACATTACACACCTGTTTTACATGGACGATCTTAAATTATACTCTTCCACAAGCATAAAACTTAATCACCTTCTACACATTACCGAAACATTCTCACGTGACATACAAATGGACTTTGGAATTGATAAATGTAAAACACAACACATCACAGCTGGTAAAAGACAACTTTTAGATTATGAGCTAGAACAGGGTAATTTAATAAATTCCATGGACGAGAATGAAACTTATAAGTATCTTGGTTTTCAGCAAAATACACATATTAAACATACGAGTATAAAACAAACACTTATCACACAATACCTACAAAGAGTACGCAGTATACTTAAAACAAAATTACACGGTAGAAATACAATCAAAGCTATTAACACTTATGCCATACCAGTGCTTACATACTCTTTCGGGATTATACGTTGGACAAATACAGATTTAGAACAAATACAGAGAAACACACGTACACTATTAACAAAACACCATATACATCACCCTCACTCCTCCACTATACGACTTTACCTTCCTCGTTCGGAAGGAGGTAGAGGACTTACAGATATAAAACTATTACACCAAACACAAATACACAATTTACGACAATACTTTTATAACAAATCAGATACTTCAGTCTTACACAAAACAGTAACATATGCAGACAAATCTTACACACCACTTAACCTACACGAAACTAATGTACTCCCACCCACATCCAAACTTACATACATCACAAATAACATACAGACATGGAACCAAAAGCCTTTACATGGACGATTTCCACAAGAGGTTGGCCAGGATTGTGTTGACTCTATAGCAACGCACAGTTGGTTGTCTGAATGTGATGTCTTCATGGAGACTGAGGGTTTCATGTTAGCAATACAAGACCAGGTCATTAACACACGCAACTATAAAAAACACATACATAAAGATAAAACAGTGACAAATGATTCTTGTCGACTTTGTTCACAAACATCAGAAACAATCCAACATATAATATCGGCATGCACACGACTTGCACAAACTGAATACAAACATCGACACGATCAGGTAGCTAAAATCATACATCAAAAATTAGCACTTAAACACAATCTCAAAACAGATACGACACCATACTACAAATACACGCCACAGATCATACTCGAAAACAACACACACAAATTATATTGGGACAGGACACTACTCACAGATAAAACTATCCACAATAATAGACCAGACATTACACTTATAGATAAAACACAAAAATCCATTTGTATTATAGACATTGCCATCCCCAACACTAACAACTTAACTAAAACACATGCAGAAAAACACCGCAAATACACCGATATAGCTATCGAGCTTAAGACGCAATGGAGAATGAAATCTACTGTTATAGTTCCCATTATTCTTAGTGCTACTGGAGTTATACCAAAGACAATACACCACAATTTACAACTATTAGGTTTAGACAAAAACACATACAAACATTTACAAAAAGCAGTCATTATCAACACATGCCATATTGTTCGTAAATTTCTAAACATAACACAAGATACTACATACAGAAATGATCCACAACGTATACATGTAAACAACAGTACTCGCTCACAACACGGTACACAACATACTGTAATATCTCCACCTCTAACCCAAACAAACACACAAATACAACTTACCGAACAAACAAGTACAACAAATGATACAACATATACTACAATCAGAGATTCACCTCTGAAGCAAACCACATTATCACACCCATTAGTATTCAACCCAAACGCAAAAGCCTAAACAGCACTTTAGACTCACAACATGACACACAACATACTGTAATATTCTCCACTCTTAACTCAACCAACCACACAAACACAACTTCCTGAACAAACAAACGCAATAAATACAAGTAACGCAACACGCACTACAAAGACGCCCTCACCCACACGACCTAGCACAGCTGAAAAACACAATACTCTTTCTTCTCAGAAACACACCACGTTATCACAAACACAACCCATTCGTACTCAACCCAAACGCAACAACCTTAACACAGGCTCACAAAATACTGTAATGTCTCCACCAATAACCCATGCAACAACAGAAATACAACTTCAAGAACAAAGAAACACCATAAATACAAGTAACGCAACTTGCACTACAAAGACAGGTCCATCCAATAAAGTTACACGCCCTAGCACATTTAAAAAACACAAAACTCCTTCTTCACAGAAACACACCACATTTTCACAACCCACTCGTATTCAACCGAAACGCAAAAACCTTAACAGAACTACAGGCTCACAACATACTAAAATATCTCCAGCAAAAACCCAAGCAGCCTCTCAAATACAACCTCAAGAACAAAGAAACACCATAAATACAACTAACGCAACATGCACTACAAAGACAGGTCCACCCAATAAAATTACACGCCCTAGCACATTTAAAAAACACAAAACTCCTTCTTCACAGAAACACACCACATTTTCACAACCCACTCGTATTCAACCGCAACGCAAAAACCTTAACAGCACTACTAGCTCACAAAATACTGTAATATCTCCATCAATAACCCAAGCAACCTCACAAATACAACCTCAAGAACAAAGAAACACCATAACACAAGTAACGCAACATGTACTACAAAGACAGGTCCATCCAATAAAGTTACACGCCCTAGCACAGTTAAAAAACACAATACTCCTTCTTCTCAGAAACAACCCACTCGTATACAACCGAAACGCAAAAACCTTAACACAGGCTCACAAAATACTGCAATATCTCCACCAAAAACCCAAGCAACCTCACAAATACGACTTCAGGAACAAAGAAACACCATAAATACAATTAAAAAACACAAAACTCCTTCTTCACAGAAGCACACCACGTTATCACAACCCACTCGTATTCAACCCAAACGCAAAGCCAAAGAAACACTTACACAATAAACTGCATTTAATAAAATTACAGGAATTATTATAATGATTTTTTTGTTTTATTTTCCTCTTTCCTGATAGCGTTGGCTATTGTGCCCATCAATAGGTATGTTGGTAAGTACGAATTACATTATCCCTAGATGTCCAATGTACGTGTGTGATTTTTTTTTTTTTTTTTAATGACCCTACATAACTTCACCAGACACAGACACTAATCGTTACTTGATTTTAATCCGTGCGATTAGTTAACCAGGCTAGACCTGAGTTCTCACAAGAAACACCGATAATAATAATAATTAGATTAGTTAACCAGGCTAGACCTGAGTTCTCATAAGAAACACCGACCATAATAATAATAATAATAACCCAAGCAACCACACAAATACAACTTCAAGAACAAAGAAACACCATAAATACAAGTAAGACAACATGCACCACAAAGACAGGTCCACCCAATAAAATTACATGTCCTAGCACAGTTAAAAAACACAAAACTCCTTCTTCACAGAAACACACCACGTTATCACAACCCATTCGTATTCAACCCAAACGCAAAGCCAAAGAAACACTTACACAATAAACTCCATTTAATAAAATTACAGGAATTATTATAATGATTTTTTTGTTTGTTTTGTTTTCCTCTTTCCTGATAGCGTTGGCTATTGTGCCCATCAATAGCTATGTTGGTAAGTATGAAATACATACTATCTCTAGATTTTCAATGTGAGGGTGTGAATTTTTATTTTATTTTATTTATTTATTTCTTTTATTTTTTTTAGGACCCTACATAACTTCACCAGACACAGACACAGACACTAATCGTTACTTGATTTTAATCCG